TATATGCAAATTAAGAAACATTTCCAAATTATACAGGGGTTAGTGAAGAAAGCATCATAAAAACTACAAGATTTTGTGACTGGGTAATGAAAACACTATCAAAACTTGTAGGATGTAGCTAAAGCTGTGATTAGAGGAACATTTATGGCTTTATGTATATATTTTAGAAAGAAAAAAGGCTGGAAAATGAGGTCAGCATCCATCCTAAGAGATTAGAAAAAGAACAAAAAAATAAACACAAAGAAAGTAGAAGGAAGAAAATAACGAAAGTGCAAAAATTAGTGAAACAGAAAACAAACACATAAGAGAATATCAACAAAGCCAAAGGTCGGTACTTTGACAAGTCTTATAAAATTGACAAACATCTGGTAAGATGAATCAAGAAAAAAAAAAATGAAAAAGGGACTATTACTGCATATACTTCTGATATTAAAAAGAATATTATTAACTACTTTATGACAATAAATTTGAAGTTTTAGTAGAAATGGCCAAATCCCTAGAAAAATATAACATCAAAACTTCATTTAAGAAGAACATAAAACCAAAAATCGGTACTCAAAAATCTTCCCACGAAGGGGCCGGCCCGGTGGCAGAGCGGTTAAATGCGTGTGCTCCGCTTCGGCGGCCCGGGGTTCACAGGTTTGGATCCTGGGCAGGGACCTACACATTGCTCGTTGAGTCATGCTGTGGCCGAGTCCCACGTAAAGTACAGGAAGATGGGCATGGATGTTAGCCCAGGGCCAATCTTCCTCAGCAAAAAGAGGAGGACTGGCAACAGATATTAGCTCAGGGCTAATCTTCTTCCCCTCCCAAAAAAAAAAAACAAACCTTCCCACAAAGAAAATTCAGGTCCCCCAGCTGGCTTTATTACTAAGTTCTACCAAACATTTTGGAAGAAACAATTCCATTCTTTTTTTTTTTTTTTCCCCCCGAAAGCCCCAGTAGATAGTTGTATGTCACAGCTGCACATCCTTCTAGTTGCTGTATGTGGGATGCGGCCTCAGCATGGCCAGAGAAGCAGTGCGTCGGTGCGCGACCGGGATCCGAACCTGGGCCACCAGCAGCGGAGCACGCACACTTAACCGCTAAGCCACGGGGCCGGCTCAACAGTTCCATTATTAAACAACCTTTCCAAAGAAGAGGAAAATAGCGGATAAGCTACAACTCCTTTTATAAGAGTAGTGTAACTTCAATACCAAAATCTGACAGACAGTTTGGGAAAGTAAAATTAGAGGTTAGCCTCACCCATGAACATAGATAGAAAATTCCTACACAAAATATCAGGACAACATAATCCAACAACACAAAGTGACCAAGTTAGGTTTACCTCAGGAATGCCAGGTTGGTTTACAATTAATGCTAGTCTGTTAATGTGGTGAATTACATATCATTACATATGTAAGCATTTGATAAAAATCAAAATTCATTCATGTTCACACCTACTAGAATGGCTATATAAAAAGGACAGATAACAACAAAGATTGGCAAGGATATGAGAAATCAAAACACTCAAATATCATTGGTGTACAACATAAAAATGCTGCAGTCATTGTGGAAAACAGTTTGGCAGTTCCTCAAAATGTTAAACACAGAGTTACTGTATGACCCAAGCAATTCCTCTCAGGTATATACTTGAGGATTGAAAACATATGTCCATAAAAACCTGTCATGAATTTTCACAGCAGCGTTACTCATAATAGCCAAAAGTGGAAGCAACCCAAATGTTCATCAATTGATGAATAATTTATTAATAAAATGTGGTCTATCAATACAGTGGAATATCATTCAGTCATAAAAAAGAATAAAGTACTGATACAAGCCACAACATGGATGAACCTTGAAAATATTAGACTAAGTAAAAGAAGCCAGTCACAAAAGACCGCATATTGTATGATTCCATTTATATGAAATGTCCAGAATAGGCAAATCCATAGACACCGAAAGTAGATTAGTGATTGCCTAGGGCTGGTGGGGTGGGAGACTGCTAATGGGTACAGGGTTTATTTTGGGCCTGATGAAAATGTTCTAAAATTGACTAGGATGATGGTTGCACAACTCTGTGAATATACTAAAAACCACTGAATTGTACATTTTAAATGGGTGAATTTTATGGTATGTGAATTATATCACAATAGAGCTGTTAAAAAATTCACAATTAATTTTTTAAGTCTTCTAAGAATAGAAGAGAATTGCGTTAACCAGATTAAAGATATCTACCAAAAAAACCCAGGAAACATAAGATTGGCAAAACATTCAAAGTTCTCCCTGTGTCATCAGAAACAAGACAATGTACCAGAGTGTCTTAGTGAGTACAACAAGGCAAGAAAAAGAAATAAAAGGTAATTGGAAGAAGAAAGAAAATAATAGTAAGTACACAGAAAAATAAGAGTCTACAGGAAAATTATTGCAATTAATACTTTGGCACAGATGCTATTCACAAGCATCTAAAAATAAAATAAAATTTTAACAGGTATCATTTAAAACATGAAAAAATATAAAATATCTAGGAATATATCTAACAGAAGATGGAAGACCTCTATGGAGAAAATCATAAAACTGTATAACAAATCTTAAAGAAGATCTAAATAGAGAGATATGCCTATATTCACAATTTATAAGATTCAATATTAACATGATTTCAGCCCAGAATGAACTATAAATTCAACTGAGTCTTAATCAAAATCCCAACTAGCTGTACGTGTGTATATGTATAACTTGAGAAGTGAAGATGAAACATATACAAAGGGCGAAGGGCCGAGAACAGCCGAAGACCCTCCTGAAGAGTGAAGCAGGAGGTCTGCTCTGTCAGCTGTCAACACTCAGTGTGTATAAAGTGGCAGTAATGGGACCTAGCGGGTTATTAGCACAGTGATATATAAATAGCCTAAAAGAATAGAGTGGAGCCCAGCAACAGACCCACAGCAGGAGTGACAGTGCAGATCAACAGTGCCGGACTAAATGGACATTCAGGTGGAAAATACTAAAACTGGACTCCAGCTTCACACAATGATCAATTCGAGGTAGGCTGAAGACTCAAATATGAAAGGCAAAACTGCACAGCTCTGACAAGACAACGGGGAGTCCCCCACCCCCTCAGGCAGGGAGGCATATCCTAAACAACACAAAATCGGCCCCAACCACAAAGGGAAGACAAATACACCTATCTAGTTGCAGCTGAGAACTTCTGTGCATTCAAAGATTCCATGAAGAAAGAGAAGTCAAGCCACAACTGGAAGATATTTGTTACATATATAACTGAAAAACGACAGCTATCCAACATTTATTTAAAAAAGAAAAAATTCCTGTAAAGCAATGAAAAAAAATCAGGAAAAAAGCCAAAAGATTTGAAGGGACAATTCACAAAGAAGAAAATCAAACAGTGAATCAACACACACGATGCTCAACCATATCAGTATTAAGGCAAATACAAATTAAAGCCACTGAACACCAAGTTCACACGCCCTCCGGGCTGGCCAGCATCGGTGGGGAGTTGACACTACCACTTCGAAACACAATTTGGCAAAATGCCATGACCCCCTCCCCAATTCAACTCCTAGATATTATACCCTGGAGAAATGTGTGCTTAAAGGCACCCAAAACAAACACAATAATGTTGGTAACAGCATTATTCACAACAGCAAAAGGCTGACCACAACCCAACTGTCTCCCTACGATAGAGCGGATAAAATGCTGCCTGCTCAGAGATCGGAACGCTACTCAGCAAGAAAATTAAACCACAGGCAGCGGCAACTTGGATGAATCCGTCAAGGTGTCAACCAAAAAAAGACACACCCACACCACGCACACAAAATACCATAATATTAACCTCAAATCAGGCAAAACCAAACCCTATTGTTGACAAATGCATATATAATTGGTGAAATTACAAAGAAGGGCAAATAAATGATCACCTCCCTAGGTGGGGGAGGAGAGACGGCGAGGGTTGCGATCAGGCAGAGGTGGGGTCGGCTTCTGTTCTACTTCACCCGCGCGAGAGTCACAGGCGCCTAATTACACAGTCCCTTTCCTATATTATTCGTTCCACTGAACAAACGCGCACTTTCGTCTGCGTTATATCTCACAATAAAAAACAATCATAAACTATAATGTAATAATAATTGCAACAGTACGTAATTGGGAATGTTTAAACAACTATGCTGCCTCAATATTCTGAAACACTACTTAGTTTATTTTTCACGAAAAGTGATACAAGATACCCTTAAGGACAAAAACAGAAAACAAATCTCACATATCCACCAATTAGAATGATGCAAAAACATTCGTGTGTTGAAAGAACCCCCACATACGGACTGATCTAGATAGGTGGATATGTTGTAAAAGAAAAATAAAATTAAAGTCGACAGTAACCGAAAAGTTATACTACGCCTACAAAACCAAGTCTGGCCTTAAGCAGCAGGCGACTCCGGCCAGCACTGCCCTCAGGCCGTTGTCACGGACCCCCTTAAACCAGGACTGTATTTCCTACATTCGGTCCAAAACTCCCGGCTCCGGAATTCGAGGCGCTAAGCACCGCTTTCCTCCGACAATCCGCGTCTGTCCGGGCATCTCGCCCGACCCCCGGCTGGTCGCAGCGCGGGAACCGGCCACCGCCGGCGGCTAACAGGCGCCCGACAGCAGCTGGGGGTTCGCGTCCCCCCGCGCGCCCCCCACAACCTCCCGCTGCGGGCCGGCGGCCCCGCCTTCTCCTCACAGGAATCGGGCCTCCGGACCCACCCCCGCCGCGAAGATTCGGGGCCCGGGGGAGCCCCGGGGAGGGGGGGTCGGGGACAGGGGGTGCTGAGCGTCCGGAGGGGTGAGGCCCGGCGGAGGGGAAGAGGCCCGGGGTGTGAGGGCCGGGGAAGGCGGAGGGTCAGGAGGGGGCGGGGGGAGGGTCGGGGCAGTGACGGTCCGGGGGGCGGAGGAGGGGAGGAGAGGGGGTGCGAGGGCCTGGGTCTCGGGTCCCTGGGAGGCCGGCCCCGCGCCCCCGCCGCCCGCCTCACCTCGTCCACCGTGCGGCGCGGGAGGTGCAGCGTCCCGAGCAGCAGCTTGAGCTTCACGGCCGACGAGAGGCCGTGGAAGCAGAGGCGGATGTTGTCGATGACCGCGGCCGTGAGCAGGGACGCGATGCTGGGCGGCGCCCACAACTCGTCCGTGGCCCCCAGCTTGTTGTGCAGCCACAGGCCCGTATCGCTCTCCCGCATGGACGCCATCTTGCGGGGGGAGAACCAGACGCCGCCGAGCCGGCATCTTATGAAGACACCTACGCACCCGCGGCGAGGACCCCCGACATGGCGGCGCCCGCTGGGGCGGGCCGCGCTGACGGCATCGGAGGGGCGGGGCCTCGGCGAGACGCTTCGTGGCGATGCCGAGAAAGGCCCGCCGGCTGCCGTAACGCAACATGGCGGCGCCTGCGGCCGGCTCACTGCGGCCGCGGAAGGTGACGTCAGGAGAGGGGCGTCGCGGCCTTGTGGCGTGCGGCGCGGCTGGCGGCCGCTCGGGGCTCGGTCTCCCGGAAGGCTGGGCGGCGGCCCCCGGGCGTTCGCGCTCGAAGTCGCCGGGCGAGCTAGAGGGTGCTTGCCTGGTTGGCCGACGTCCCGGTGCGCTGTCCCCTTCGGGCCTCGAGGCTGATGCGTGGCCCGCCCGCGCCGGTGTCCCGCGCACCCCTCCTCTCGGTGGCCAGGAGGCGGGCTCGCGCCTGCTTCCCCTCGTGGGTCCCAGAGCGAGACCAGCGCAGGCAGACGGCCCCGGCCTCCCCGCCCGCGCTTCACGGGGGAGCGTCCTCGGCCGGCCTTGCGGGTCAAGAAGACTTGTAGGAACATCTTTGTCGAAGAGAGCCAGGCAGGGTCCAGCTTGCGTTCATTCCTTCAACAGTCCAGGTGCGCTGAGCACCTGCTACGTGCCTGCACCGTTCCAGGTGCCGGGGTACAATAGCGAGCAAGTCAGACCCAAACCTTTGCCTTTGTGGGTTCCGCGATCCGGAGGGAGTGGGCAGCCTACAATGGTGAGGGGGGTGTGGAGAAAGAGCTGGGCAGGGGACAGGGAGTGATGGGAGGGCAGTTCTGTGATGCACATTACACCGAAAGGGACTTGGGCAAACTTCTCAAGCCTGGCCAGTCCTGCTGCGTTTGCCGTTTGCTGGGCAGCTGTCCCGAGACAGGACTGAGTGGCTATGCTTGCAGCAGCTCCACGTCCTCAGGGTCAGCTGCAGGCGGCCTTCCTAGAGCCTGTTCCTGACATTCGCACCTGCCAGGTTTGGGCCTGCCCTTTCCAGGTGCCCAAAGAGGGGATCAGGGGTCAGGCCTCCTTCCAAAGGAAGTCAGCCCTGCCTTGGGGCGGTTCTTACCACCCCCAGGCTCCAGCCAGCCTTGGGCATTATCAAGGAAGCCACAGAATTGGGGCTTCAGCCAAAAACTGAGTGCCCCTCTATCTCGAGGGGGCTCTCTCCTGCCCTGGCCAACCCCCTCCTTCCCACCAGGCCAGCTTCCTCACCTGCCTCCAGCGGTCTCTGCAGAGCTGAGAGTCGGGACTGGGCCTTTGGTGGACGACGACAGCAAACTCGGAGGCGCTCCGGAGTATGGTCACAAACTGAGAGGAGTGAGGACTTGTTTTCCCATCGCATGGCCAGGGCCACCTCTCTGAGGAGAGGATACTGTAGCTGAGGTTGAGAGAGACTGCAGGCAGCGAGCAGGAGGAAGGACCACTAGCACAGGTTGCACCTCAGGGGCTCAGGACCTGCAGGACCTGGACCTCTTCACCTCTGGAAGGGGTGCCTGTGCCCAGATCTCCCCTTCACACCTCCCGGCTCTGCCCACCACTCCCACAGGCTCCATCCTCCCACTTCATGGAGACCACTGGCAGAGGGGAGGGGGGCACCCACTGCTTCACTGTTCTTTCTGCACCTGGGAGGTGGAGAGGTTAGCAGTCCAGACCCTTCAGATCAGGGCATGCCTTCCTCATTGGTTGAGATGAGGCTCAACTCTGCTTGTATTTTATTCGAGTCTATTTTTCTTCCTTCCATCACCAATCCCAAAGCTCACTTCTCTCCTTAGGCCCCTCACTCCCTACTCTGGTGATCGGAATATGTCTGATGTGTGTGTCCTTGACAGACAAAGTGTATGTTTGTGTCTTCAATGGACAGAGATGAGATTGAGCTTTCTGTTCCCCTAGGATTAAACCCTCACATTGCTTCCAGTTGTTGGCCCTACAGACATTCTACAATGAGGGCCCACATACAAGTCCCTCCAGGACTGTGTGTGAGGGTCTGGGAGGTACTTGCCCCAGAGTATGGGTATTGGCTGAAGGGCACCCAGGTAATGTTACAGAGGGCTGCCAGAAGGTTATCTGGGAGGGACTGCACCAGTTACCCTCCCTCCCACAAGTTGTGTGCTGGAGCCAGCTTACACAGGCTTGCAAGAGACAATTGTTAAATTTTCAGGAATTTCACAAGCTTGTCATTCAACACAGCCTCTACTAAAAATTAAACTTCATTTTATTGTATTCATTTTGCTATACCTTTACAAGGTATTTTACTTCCTTTCACCATTACTCGTGGTCTGGATGTTATTCAGGTCTATTGTACTCGCATGGCAGAAATGCTGCATAACGTTGCACCCCTGTACTCTCCCCTGACGCCACCTTCGTGGATGTCCCCTTGGCAGCTTGAATGCAGCAACGATGGGAGTATTTACACCGTGAATACCAGCAAATGCTGCAAATCAGGGCTTGATTGTTTTGTTGATTGTCTAGACTTACGAAAGTAATAGAGAAAATGCTAACAATGAAGATTAAACTTAAAAGTGTGTTGTCTGTAGTCATTACATTGTGAATAGCACACACAAAAGGAGGCAATATTTCCTCCAGTATTCAAAAACTAATCTGATTCAGCAAAGAAGTGCTTCATGTCACTGACTAATGTGTGAAGTTCTGAAATAAGTGGTGCTGAAGCTAAGAGAAGTTCCAGTTTAATAATTCTAGTTTGTTTGAGGGTGAGAAATAGTTTTACAGTTGATTACATATCAAATTTAATGACAATACATTTATCGGGAAAAGAGCAGATTTGGATGCAGCTCCATTTGTCAAATAATGATTGAATTGTAACCTTGGTCGGCTGGAATAAAAATCTTTGTTCACTGTATGCAAACGTATGCAAATGTTCATAGCAGCTTTATTCATAATAGCAAAAAACTTGAAACAACCCAAATAGCTCTGACCCTGACTGTTTGCAGCTTTCTGTAGAATGTGTGGCACTTGGTGTATTTGAGTCTTCAGCTTTACGTCCTTGAAACTAATTCTGGGTCATCAGGAAAAATTCTGCTAAACCACTGGCTTAACAAAGAGAGAAGGCAGACCAGTAGGAGGAGGTATTTGCAATATTGAAAAGTAAACAGTGGGTTAATATTTAGAGTGAAAAAAGGAATGCCTGTAAATCAGTGAGAAAAAGACAGAGATCCAATAGACAAATGGGCAAAAGATAAGAATGGGCAGTTTATAGAAGGGAAACCCAAATATCTGAGAAGCATGCAAAGAGATGCTTCAACTTATCAATAACCTGAAAAATCCAAACTAAAATAACAAGATGCCTCATTACATCCATTAGATTGCAAAATTAGAAAGTCAAAGTGTTTGTTTTTAAATATGGATATCCAATTGTCCCAATACCATTTGTGGAAAAGATTATCCTTTCTCAAATGAGCTGCTTTTGAACCTTTGTTAAAAATCTGTTGTCCATGTATGTTTGGAGTTTATCTCTGGACTCTTTTCTATGTGTGTGTGTGTGTGAGGAAGATCAGCCCTGAGCTAACACCCATGCCAATCCTCTTTTTGCTGAGGAAGACTGGCCCTGAGCTAACATCCGTGCCCATCTTCCTCCACTTTATGTGGGACGCCTCCACAGCACGGCCTGACAAGCAGTGCGTTGGTGCACGCCTGGGATCCGAACCTGGGCCACCAGCAGTGGAGCACGCGCACTTAACTGCTACGCCACAGGGCCAGCCCTCTATCCTGTTTTATTCATCTACCTTTATACTAATACCACGCTGTCTTGATTATTGTAGCTTTATAATAAGTCTTGAAATCAGATAGTGTTAGCCCTCCAACTTTGTTCTTTTGCAAAGTTATTTTGGCTATTTTAGGTCCTTTGCATTTCCATACACATTTTGGAATCCTTTGTCAATTTCTAGAAAAAAATTTGTGGGCATGGAGTTGTTCATAATATTCCTTCATTACCCTTTTTAATGTCCATGGGATCTGTAATGATGTCTCACCTTTTATTTCTGATATTGGTAATTTGTGTTCTCTCCATTCTTTTAATCTTTTTATTATTATTATTGAGGTATAATTGACATACATTATATTAGTTTCAGGTGTACAACATAATGATTCTATATTTGTATGTATTGTCCTCTCTCTTTTTTTCTTAGTTAACCTGACTAGAGACATCAATTTGATTGATATTTTCAAAGAACCAGCTTATGGTTTCATTGATTTTTCTCTGCTGATTTCCTCCTTTCAATTTCATTAATTTCTGCTCTAATTTTTATTATTTCTTTTCTTCTGCTTACTTTGGATTTAATTTGCTCTTCTTTCTCTAATTTCCTAAGGTAGAAACTTAGATTATTGAGTACAGATGTTTCTTCTTTTCTAATATATGATTAAATGCTATCAATTTCCCTCTAAGCATGGCTTTCACTGTATCCCACAAATTTTGATAAGTTGTGTTTCATTTTTGTTTAGTTCAAAATATTTAAAAATTTCTCTTGAGATTTCTTCTTTGATTCATTATGTAGAAGTGTGTTGTTTAATCTTCAAGTATTTGAGGATTTTCCAGCTATCTTCCTCCCTCCCTTCCTCCCTTTCTTCCTTCCGTCCTTCCTTCCTTCTTTCCTTCCTTTTGTGGTGAGGAAGATTGGCCCTGAGCTAACATTTGTTGTCAATCTTCCTCTTTTTGCTTAAGGAAGATTGTTGCTGAGGGGCCAGCCTCGTGGTATAGCAGTTAAGACCATGCACTCTGCTTCAGGAACCTGGGGTTCACAGGTTCAGATCCCAGGCGTGCACCGACGCACTGCTTGTCAAGCCATGCTGTGGTGGCATCCCATATAAAGTAGAGGAAGATGGGCACTGATGTTAGCCCAGGGCCAATCTTCCTCAGCAACAAGAGGAAGATTGTCAACAGATGTTAGCTCGGGGCTAATCTTCCTCACACACACACACACACACAAAAGATTGTCGCTGAGCTAACATCTGTGCCCATCTTCCTTTATTTGGTATGTGGGACACTGCCACAGCATGGCTTGATGAGCAGTGTGTAGGTCTGCACCT